AAAAAAATGACTTAAAACAAAAACTTATAAATAAAAAAATTTATATTTTAGGTTGAAAATAGACAGTGAGAAAGAGGATATTTAAATGTTTCACCCATTGGCCCTGCAAAGTCTCGAGACAGCTCTAATAACAGGAAATTAAAAATTATATATATTTATACACATATATATTTAAATTATATAACACACGCGTACCTTAAAATTATAAAACACACACATATATTAAAGACATTTCATTAACTTTGCTTTTTATTTTAGATACATTTGTAATTATAAGTATCTTATTCCTCATTGACTAATTCATTATTAAACTGCTATAGTTAAAAAAAAGTGCCAAATTATTAACTTCTAATAGAAGTAGTAGTCTGTACAAATTTTAAATTGAAACAGATAGAATTTTTGAAAGCTTCACCTTAACAATATTAAAATTTTCCTTGTGAAATGATTGTTTTTAAAGGAATATAATGCTGGTGCATACTAACTTTTGTGAATCATTGGATCAAAAAATTTTGCTTTATTAAAAGCGCTCTTCATTTAAAAGTAGAAAATAAAATGGAGATCCAGAATAATGAGTGCAGGGAAATCAAATTTAAAAAAAAAAAAAAAAAATTCTGATNATCTTTTTCCTAAATTTTTAGCTGTCAGAAAAACAAAAATATTCTGTATATATTAAGAGGAGAGAGAGAACTGATAAATTAAGTTGCAATCACCCTTCTCAAACTATAAATTTAATACAAACATTAAACATAACAGAAAGTACATTAAATACTCATATGAATAAATTGTTAAATTAACTTCTAAACTGTTGCTAGTATAAGACAATTAAAAGTCAAAAAGACCCCCTAGTTTAAGAGTAATAATTTAATATTGTATTAAGAAAATTGAAATTGCTTACATAAGCTATCTGAAACAAAATTTAGAAACTTAAATTTGCTTAATATTGATATCCACAACTAAAAGCTCAAGAAAAATGGACAAGTTGTTAAATTTGTATGTTTAAATATTAGAATAATTAGTTTGAAACATCTTAATAAAATAAGCCAAAGGAAACGCACACAACATTCAATATAAATATTAACAGTAAAGATTAAATATATTAATTACACATACTTAAGCTTTAATCGAATAATAGATGTGATGCACGTTTCAATACAAAAACAAAATAGAAGCAGGATTTCATTATCATTAAATGTTTTAGGAGGCACATCATGTACAAGATCTCCAAAAGTAAATAGGATATAAAATTCATGACAATTATATCATAGTAAAGCCTTAATAAGGAAGGCTAAGCCTTCTATAAAATTTACCTAGTTCTAATAATTGGCAACCAAAACTAACAATGTTGCATGTAAGAAAGCCGGAGACATGGAGGCAAGCAAGTTAAAATAACATGAAGAAAAAAAAATCAATAACTAATCTGGCTTTCTCACTGCAACTGACTCCTTGTCAGTTTGAATTAAAAATATAACTGATGAATTTGATGTATCAAATTCAAAAAAGATAGATAAGAGTCTTTATAATTTATCTTAACTTGGCTCAAACTTTAATTTTATTTTGTAATGGAAGGATAGGCTGCTTTGATAATTTTTTTTAAATTACTAAAATATTGATTTTTTCCTCCGTCACATAATAAAAGAGAATTTTTTGTTGTTGTTTTCTTTAACATTTGAAAACGTCACTAGGCATGCTAACACTTGTAATTCTCATACAGAGCTATAAAAAAAGGATTATTTTTTTAACAAAAAAAATAAAAGATAATAAAAACCATACTTCTTTATCCTATGCAATCAATAAGGAGAGAAAAAATTTACTTTATTAAATAAATTGAAAGAAATATTTTTTACCCAGAAAACTTTCCTCTCTTTAAATGGGGAGCATGATGCCCCTGCACAATTATTAATTTTTTCAGTTCTTTTTCTTAACTCTTTAATTTAATCGCTGTTAATTACTTTTTTTTCACAACTATTTGTTCAAAACACTGTTAAACCCACTTTGCATGCTAATATATATAATTTAAATGTTAAACCAAACTTTTATCCAATTCCTTTATTTCGTCAACAAGATATATGAAAGAGAAAAAGAATTATAGCTATTTTGTAGTGATAAGGTTTACATTTTTCCCTACACAATTCAAATAAATAAAATAAAATCATAATAAAAAGTGACTAATTGTAATATTTTATCTTATTACCAGCATTGAATAGCCATTCCATACAGGGGAATAGAGAACTTTAATATTAAACTCTGTAGTTTTGCTGTGTAAAGCCCAACCCAGAAGACTTAACTCCTGGGTCAAGTATACCCAGTGCTTATGGAGAAAGATTTTTAAGTACTTATCTATATTTAGATTACATGAAGAGGAAATCACAGTTGGTCTTAATGGTAAGGGGACTCAAACTTATGATTTACTTATCCCCCCAAAAGAATACATGCAGAAAAATCAATAAAAAATTTTTTCTATATAAACAAATGTTATAAATCAATAAAACAAATATTAATCTTCCAACTCCTGAAATAATAAATTACTTTTCACACTTTTTTTTAAAATTATTAATGCAGGATTTTTTTCTCACTATATAGCAATTATGTTAATTCTATAGCAATATGATTTAAAAAAGTAACTGATATACGACATTTGCTCTGACCACCTCATTGTATTCAAGAATAAAACATCTAACACTCAGATCAACTATATTTAATATAAATCGGTATGAATACCTGTAATTTATTGAAACCGGATGTAACATTGTTCAACTCTTTCTGTCCTTTTGTGGCATCAATTAGAGGTGTTATGGTTAAAAACAAAACCTAGTACACACTACATTACACCTTCTTATAATTGCTACGCCCTGCAATTCAAACTGTGTTTAAATTGTCAATAAAAATTACGGTTGAATACGCTTTGGACAGATCATGTGTATTTAACAAGTAATATTAAAAAATAATTGATGACAAATATATAATTGATTAAAAACATCAAACTGCATTGGATTATTTTGTTTCCTTGTCTCTTTGCGATCAGTATCAGAAGTCTGCTTATTTGCAATGATGTCTTTAATTTTTTTACAATTAAATTTGTAGATGAAAAGAACAGAAAGAGGTGCAATCTGAAAATAAAAATGCCTCAAAAAATATCAAGTGATTTAATAAATTTTCTTGGGGAGGTAAGTTAGAAAAAAGTAGGCTTCAGACGAGTTGGAAATTTGAAGCAAGTATGTGCAAAGAACATTTTTCCTGGTGATTAAATGAATGAATAATCAAAGGTCAACGAAATTATCGTAGGCAATATAATCTATAAAATTGTTAATTTTCGTAATATCTACTGTATTTAAAGTAAAATTAGGCAATACCCAATAAGCATTTTAGTAAGAAAAAAACAGTTAATTACACACAGTGGATTAGATTGGGACAAAAAAAACTTTTCTTGTTTTTCTTATAATGTAGAAAGCGCTCTTTATGGGTTCAATAAAAGTAGCATTAACCATTTTTAAAATCAGAAAATATCTTCTGCTCCAGCAATACACTTGAATTTTAGGAATTTAAATAAAAAATTAACACTTTTTATTCTAAATAAGAAACAAAGGCTTTGTGACCCTATAAGAAACATAAAAAATATTTTTCTGCTCAAAAAAATATCTTCATATTTAGCATAGAATATCAAATGCTCTAATTCTTGGAGAAAAAGAATTATTTCTGTGGTTGTAAAAAAAAAAACTAACAGAACTATTTAAAGTTGCATTGAGTTGTGCTAAAAATTGTTTTAACTATAAGTTGATTTTTTTTTATCAGTTATAAAAAGTACCATTTTTTCTTATACCTTACCTACATGTCTGACAGTGCTCAGTCTAAAATAGTACTTTTACAGATAAAATCTTTGTAACAATTTGACTAATAACAAATTTCCTTCCCCCAAAACAAAGATATTTGTACAATGCAATACAATTTGCAATTAAATAGAACTGAATACGCTTCTAAACACTCTTGAACACATTTATTTTACATGTTTGATACATTTTTACAGCATATGAAAATATTTAATTTTTTCAATCTTTGAAGGACTTCACGTACAATGCAAAAATTGAAGATACTGTTTGATCGGTAAAACAGGTCGTTTTAGAGTAAGACTTCTCCTTCACTCTATCAAAATAACACAATTTTTAAAAAAAATGTTTCTTACGTAGAAAAAAATTCTATTTTCACACTAATTCCTTAAATTTAAGTGTAATCTGGGATAGAATAAAATTTTTTATTTAAAATATATTTCATACCATAACACTTTACTGAAACTACAAAAAACACTTTCTGCATCATTAGAATAGCATTTTTTCAGCCTAGCACTCTATGTTGGTTAAAAAATTTTAGAATTGCTCAATAAAATTTTATGATATAGAATAAATAATGTGATTCCAAATAATATTTTCTTTTAATAGATACATAGGCATTAAAAAAATCTATAGTTATTATTTTGTTGATTAAAATATACAAAATCACAAATAATATTTTTCGTAATTAATACATAAACAGCGAAACATTCCACTAATATTAAAAAGAATTTAGAGATACAAGTATAATCATAGATAATTTCTATTTTTCAAGTTGGTGAAGCTACATAAATTAAAAGTAAACTTATACAATGTAAAAATAAAACAATCTTATTAAGAAACAATCATTGGTTTTCCTTTACTAGTCAACAAAAATTCATTTCTTGAAATAGATGTTTATAAATTTGCAACACAAATTTTTTAATTAGTCAAATAATAACGTGATCAAAAATATTTTCTTTTAATTGTTACGAAAATACTAAAAAATTCAATTGATATTATTTTGATTAAAATATACGAGGTATATCCACAGAGTAAGTTCTGTTTCTATTTCTATCCGCGGCAGCGCTGCAGTCGCAGTTCCGAGCATACGCGCCAGTTACTCTGACTCAAGCAGAAGAAATGTATGCCATTTTCAGATCGCTGCTGCCGATGTGTTCTTTGTAGTGCTTCTTTATGATGTCAGCCTTAATTGAAAATGTCGCCGCTTGTGAAATCAGATCTGTGATTCATTTTCTAAATGCAAAGAAAATTAAACCATGTGAAATTCATCAGCAAATCTGCGAGGTTTACGGACTAACTGCTATGAGTGATTCAATGGTTAGAAGATGGGTCAGACAGTTCAATGAAGGATGTCATCAAGTCCATGATGAAGAAGGATGTGGACGCCCGTCTTTGGTTACTGATGAACTGGTTCACGCAGTTGAAGAGAAGCTTAAGCAAAACCGTAAGTTTACAATTAGTGCTCTCGTTACGGAATTTCCGCAAATCTCACGATCACTAATTCATGAAATTGTTACTGAAAAACTGAAATTTCGAGAACTCTGCTCACGTTGGGTACCAAAAATTCTTACTGAACAACACAAAAAACAACGGATGGGCAGTGCACTTCAGTTTTTGACACGCTACAATGAAGACGCTGATGATTTCCTTTCTAGGATAGTCACGGGGGATGAAACTTGGGTATCTTACGACACCCCAGAAACTAAACAGCAATCAATGGAATGGAGGCACACTTCATCCCCAACGAAAGTCTTGACACCTCGAGAACTCATGTGCACCGTTTTTTGGGACAGAAAAGGCATTTTGCTGATTGATTTCTTACCACGAGGCTAAACAATCAATGCACATGTTTACTGCTAGACCATTAAGAAATTGCGCCGCGCAATACAGAACAAGCGCAGAGGATTATTGTCAAAAGGTGTTACTTTTTTACACGATAGTGCCCGACCTCACACAGCGAACGTGACAAAAGAACTCCTACAGGAATTTGACTGGGATGTGTTTGATCATCCTCCGTACAGCCCAGACCTCGTTCCTAGCGACTTTCATCTCTTTTTACACCTAAAATCTTTCCTTGGTGGTCAACACTTCAACGATGATGACGAGCTGAAAGAACATGTTACCACATGGTTGAAAACACAGGCGGTAACCTTCTATGAAGAAGGCCTACAAAATTTCAGCTATGTAGAAAATTAGTTTCACAGTTGAAGATTTTCGTACAATAAATATTTTTTCTGTATCTGTACACGTTTTTTTTATATAACCAAACGGAACTTACTTTGTGGATATACCTCGTACATAAAAAAAATTATACGGAGACTTATTTATAGGATTTTAAACCATGCATGAATAATTATAGTTAATTTTAATCTTTAAAGTCTGTCAGTATATAAAAGAACGAAAATGAAACACATACAACTTTACAATTTTAAGTAAAACTTATTTAAAAGCAATAATATTAGTCATTCTTTACAAGTGAACAAAAATTTATTCCAAATATAATTAATAAACAATCATAATAATTAAGTTATTACTAATTCAATAATAATTTTAACTTACAAATAATTTATATATTTAAAGCTGTTTAAAACGTTAGTCCAATAATAAGAAGCTGATTTTCAAGATATTTGCTTATCTTCTATAGTCAACAAAAATTCATTCTTAATAATATGTACAGATAAGTGCAAACTTAATAAGCAAGTTAGCCCTTCAAACACAGTTAAAGCTTTAAAATAAATCTGTCAAAATAGTATAAAAATGACCTTCATTAAAAAATATATAAATAAATAATTTGACAAGCAGTTTTTTGGTCTTGTCATTTTATAATCTTCATGAGTTAACAAAATTCATTTTTTTGATATGTACAATTTTGAATATTATGTCCATTATTCTATTAAAATTAAAACTTTAAATTAAATTGAATTTTCCTTTGCAGTTCTTAAAACAAAAATCTGCGAAAAAGATGAATAAAGCCACTTTATTCCAAAAGTGAATAAATAAAGTAAATATAATAAGCAGTTCTGAAAACTTGTTTGTTACCTTAACTAATCCACCTTATCCAAACAAAATTAAAGCTTTGAAATAAATTACATTTTTACAGTTATTTAAAATAAAAATCACAGATAATGAGAACATGTAAAAGCATAAAATATCCAGCTCAGAAAAAAAAAAATGTTTAAATATTCCTAGTTAACTACAATATTGTATCATACAACTGATCATACAGAAAAACTAAATATAGTATGATGAAACACTCAATATATACATTAAGTATATGTCAACGAGAAACTTTTTCTTCATAATGTCATCACAGATTGATAAAATAAAACTGATCCATTATTCAATGTTACTCATCTAAAATCTTAGGAAAAAAACTTGTGAAATAAGTCAGATAATATCCTAAAATACAATTAAAAAATAAATATAAAACCAACTTGATTTTAAAAACAATAGTTAAAATATATTTCCCAAATATTTTTTTTAAAAAAAGAAATTTTACTTCATGATATTGTTTTCAAACCCTTTATCTTAATACTAAAATCATTTCCCATTAAAAAAAAAAATTTAAAAGATATACATAATTTAAAGGCTAATAAATACAGTATAATAAGTATACAGTTAATAATAAGTTTATGCTAAAAAAAAATTGGAGTTTACAAAAACTAAATCATTTATGCAAGAAAGATGATTATTTATTATAGAATCAATAAAATTAAAAAAAAAAAAATTGAAAAAGAACTGAACACACACTATAAATAATGAAATAGGGAGAGTAAAAAGAATAAAAACATTATAACCCTTTCTTAGCACTTTTGGCTATATCTATAAACTAAATTAAAATTATAAGTACATAGAACATGTTTCTAACACTTTAAATCTGTTAGCAACATATCTACATGCAGTTACGATTTTTAATATGCTCCGACACTAATTTTTCATACATCTTCCTTTGGACCTTCAATATTTATGGCAGTAAAATAAAAACATGATTTTTAAATATTCATTTATACACAAACATAAATTTGTATGTAACTAACTGAGAGGAATCACATATATCAGCTTCTTTACTTGAAGGGGTGTCATTATTTAAAACCAAACAAAATAACACAGTCAAACCTCAATATCACAAATTTTTCAATTTCTTCAAAAAACCTGAATTACCTACACATTTCGATAATAATAAAACATCTTTCAACTAAAAATTTGATAGCATCGATAATTTCTGGGCAGTCCTTGATTTCATGTGCAGAAAAAAAATAAAGCAATATAAAAATCAATGTATAAAAAGAATTTTTTGATTTCACAAAAAAAATTTAATTACCCATACATTTGTTACTCAGATAATATTATTAAAACCTCTTTCAACCAAAAATTTGGTAGCATCAATATCTGGATAGCCCTTGATTTCATAAAATATTTTTTATTGTCAATTTTTTCTCTCCTTATTTTAGAGAAGTTTTTTTTCCTTGAACACCGATTTTGAAGATTTTTCTTTAATAGTTTTCTGAATTATTTCTTGGACATGTAATTAAAAAATAAAAATGTTACAAAAAAATAGCTAATATCATCTATTCTTAAAAAAGTAGAACTGTACGTTCATGGATGAGGTTCGTCTTATCAGTCCCCTAATACGATTAGGAAGAACAAACTTATTTAAAAGAAACTGATACTGCCCTAAATTATCTTATTTTACTCAAAATTTTAAGTTTTCAAATAATTATTGTCAAAACTTGCTTTCAAACACTTTAGTTAGTCACAAAATAATCAAATTACAATAAAAACAGTTGTTTCTGAACTGATTTGAATACAATTTTTGACATTGTTACAAGAAAACAAAATATTAAGATAATTTAGATAAAGTAATGTACCAGTTTAAAGGCGCAAGAATAGAAATTTTAAAAGAGGGAAACTCCCCCATCGGCATACGACCTTTACAGACATTAATTGTTTGCATGTAATTCTCAATTCACATGTCATTTACAGGATGCCCTGGAAAACTTTTAATTGTTAACAGTTATTATTTTTACTAAAATGTTAATGAATTAGATCCTTCAAATTTTTAAAAATTACAAAATTTTTAGCCTCTTTTTGAGTTTGTGATATAGAGGTTAAATTGTATTTGTTGGAAAAATTAGTAGATTAATCAGCTGTCAATATATTTCCTGAGATTAAGATTTTTTTTTCATAAATTAAATTAACATACATAATCTCAAGCACTAAAGGGAGACCCAGTTAAGATCAAAAGTAAAAAAAAAATATTAAATATGTCAATATTACTTGGCACACAATTTGAAATAAAATAATGCAAATTCATTCAGCAGTTATTTATTCAACATACAGTTTTGTTTCTACACCAAAACACGGAACCGAAAATAAATCACTTTGTAGAATTCTATATCAACTTATAAAATTAGTAATAAAAAATAGTATAGAAATATTATAAATACAGAATAACTAAAAATAGTTTGTCACTTACGGTATTTTAAAGTATTTGTTTCAGTTTTAAGGTATTCAATAGTTAGAACCAACTGCAGTTTATAGGTCTAGTTTTAATTCAATTGAGACTGCATAAAGAGCTTTATATTCAATTTTCATCAATATAAAATTGACGAAATGTTTTAAAAATTTTGTATGATGAAATCTGTTATTTTAAAAGAATCAATGGGCTGAGTGCAGAAAATCAATACATTTGATTGAATTTCAATTGATGTTTAGTAAATAAATATATATTGAAATAACTTCATCTAAAACATATTGATTTCATAAATTTCTGCATATTCTGGTGACAAGGATTAAATTTTTTTTAAAAGCTTAGAACTGTTTAGGTAATATAAGTTGCTAATATTAAATTATTCCATACATTTTAAATTTTCTATTTGTTATCTCAACAAGGCTATAGCAAATAATTTATGTTTTGATTTTTATTATTGAGAACTTAATCTCTTCAAGGACAATTTTTTTAATTGAGAAAGAAAAATGACTCAATTGTTTTATATGATTGATTTCTTCATTTTACATTGATAGTAATACATAAATTGCAACAATAATAGTAAAACCTAATTTTCAAGAAAAAAAATATTGGTTTTAATATCATAATTCTATAAAAATATTTTCTGCAGTTAAGTTATACTGCTATATGTTACTTAGAAATATAACTAAACTTCAGCTGTTTAACAAGCTTAGTACTACATCTTTTTAATTTTTTAGTAAACATAAGTGCAGAGCACATTCCAAATAGCTTTGTTTAAATTAAAACAAATACTTTATAACAGCTACAGCAAAAAGGTAATAAAATTAAAGTTAATATGAATGTAAGAAAGACATATTTATCATAAAAAAACAATACAATTTTTAAAAAAATAAGTTTCAAATAAATGAATTTGTACCACAACTTAAATTTTGAGGACATAACTATGCAATCATATTATTTAATATTAACAATCAAATTTCTCAACTGCTTCTGTCTCAAGACAATCTTAATTTTAGTATTATTGCTGAATAGAAACAGTGTCTATATTAAATTTAGAAGAAAAACAAGAGACAAATAACAATAATGAGGATTCTATGCTACGTTAAATGTATATGCACATATATTCACAAATGTGTTATGCTGGCTAACACAGCATCAAAGGTGAATAAATACCACCAACACACAATCAATTTTGTACAACTGATCTCTTGATCATGGAGACAATGAAAATGAAGTGTGCAACCCGTTTATAGCAATCTTTATTTCCTTTTATAAAAGATCTTACCAAGTTTTAACCTTACATGTTGTTGGCTATTTTTAAGTGTAACACACCATCGTTAAAATTTCCCAAACTTCCGGTTGA